CAGCCGGATAAAACCCAGCTGGAGTAGTGGCAGCTGCAGCAACACCAGTTGAAGCTGCCGCCACACAGGCAGTTGATCCCACTGGCACAGCAGACGCAGCAGCAGGAGCAGCAGGAGCAGGAGGAACAGCAGCAACACTAGAAGTAGCCACAGCATTTGAGGGTGTAGCTCCCGCTACAGCAGTACCCATGGGCCCAGAGCAACCAGGCAGGGGCTGGGACGGGTTGGGGTCTATGCCCGCGTTATAGAGTACCCCTTTAAAGATGTGCCCGCCGATCTTGACACAGGCGTGGTAGCCAAACTCAAAGTGCCCGTCCACGATGCCCGTCACCCGCACGCTCCTGAGAAGGGTCTGTGCCACCACCTCTGCTGGGAGTGCTGTGTGAGGGAGAGGGGTTGAGAGCGGTGAGATGGGATTGAGTGAGAATGTGTCCGGCCACAATGCCCGTCACCCACACGCTCATGAAGAGAATCTAAGCCACCATTTCTGCTGGGAGTGCTGGCGTTAGGGATTGGGATTGGGAGGGGTGGGGTGGGGTTGAGTGAATAAGTGTTCTGAGGAGCCTGTGAGAAGCACGCTCCTGAGGAGGGTCCGAGCCTGGGAGTGCTGATGTGGGGCAGAGGGTTTGGGAGGGGCGAGGCGGGGTGGAGTGGGACTGTGCCCTAAGTTGTTGTAAGCCCTAATGTCGTAATAAGCCCCAATGAAACAGCCACCTCACCTTGTGTCTGCTGCGCTGGTGTTTCTGGAAGAGCCAGCAACGATGGCTGCTGCTGCGGCTGCTGCGCCACCTGCTGTTGCTGCTGCAGTGGTGGCTGCTGCAACGATGGCTGCAGCACCTGCTGCTGCTGCTGCTGCTGCTGCTGCTGCTGCTGCTGCTGCTGCTGCTGCTGCTGCTGCTGTTGCTGCTGCTGCTGCAGAGTTGGTTGCACCCCCACGTGCTGCTGGTACTGAGACGGGACCAGCAGCAATTGCTGTGACTGGGCTTGAGCTTGTCCTTGTCCTTGCCCTTGCCCGTGAGCTTGCATAACCGTCTGGGCACCTAGCAGCGCCGCCGCTCCTCCTGCTTGCGGCGGCTGCTGCTGCTGCTGCGGTGGCTGGACGGGCCCGTGACTGGGCATCTGAATCGACACCTGGCCAGGCACCTGAGCCGGCACCTGCGCCTGGGGGATCGGCACCACCACAGACGCCACTGGGCCTCGCGCAGGCGATTGAGCCATGACAGGTGTCGACGCTCCACTGGCTGGCAGAAAATTCGAGCTTCCCAACGCCCCTAGGGCCGCACCTGGCGCTACAGCAGCAGGCCCCATCGCAACAGCCACAGCAGCAGCACCAGCAGCAGTAGCGGCGGTGGCAGCAGCAGTGGCGGTAGCGGCGGTAGCGGAATACGGCACGGGCATCGTAATGGGTCCCGCAACGGGCGACTGTGACCCGCTCCCTCGCGCGCGCTTCGTCCGCGAAGGTACCGGCCGCATGGTCGCGGCCATCGCGCGCGCGGCGGACTCCATCTGCTCGCGCTTTCTCCGCTCCGCCGCGGGGACCCACGTGCTGCGCACGTGTGTCGCGCAGCTGTATCCGCGCGCCTTGCAGCACGTGCGGCAGCGGCGGTACGGACAGTCGCGCTTCGACGCGTTTCCGCACTCCATGCACGAATTGCCCTCGCGGAAAATGGCCGGGCCGAGGGGTTGGATGACTGGGAGTGTCACTACTTGCTGCTGACCCGGCTGCTGCTGCTGCTGTTGCTGCTGAGAGTGCTGCGGTTGTTGCTGGTGCTGCGGCTGCGGCAACGGGACTATAACGGGAGTGAGCGGCTGTTGGAGTGGCTGTAGCTGCTGTGGCGGTAGCGGCTGCTGCTGCTGCTGCAACATCTCCAGCTTCGGTTGAGAGATTTGCTGTGGATTTGGCTGCGGTGATTGAGTCGGGCCGACAGGGGGAGCTGGAGGAGGAAGTGGGGAGATAGGTGCGCCATCCGCTGCAGTCGCCATTGCTGGTAACCCCACCACTCACGAAACCGCCGGTCGCAAATCGACACTCACAACTACGATATGCTTATCTAGAGCAAAAAATCCGCTTGCGGTAACCTTGGCCGTTTCTTGCAGAACTGCTGTGCAAAACGGCCGCCTTTACTTCTATGATAGGCGATTAATATTGTTTGGAGAGCAGGACTGGTGCATGTACAATCGACCGAGTAGAGTTGCATATCCAGAACGCCGATGGAACCTGGAAAACGGGAAACAGAACACCACACCGAACAGATTTGAACGAAAGGGGAAATTTTGAGAGCGTTGCACACCGCATGACTTTTGAGTCGACTCAAAAGTCAGCACGGAGAAGTCGAAGCCAGATTCCTAAAGACGTTTGACGCGTCGCGCAGCCAGAGTCAGCACGGCGCGGCGATTCATGACGACGAGAAGCGGCACAGTGTAGTAAATTCTCTCATCAAAGGTGCGTTTTGAGTCAATTCCGAACACATTTCACCGCACTTCGGGAAGCACGAAGATAAGGAACAGAAGGACATCGACGGAATCATGACAACAAGCGATAACGACGGGACCAGCGTAACGGGAGAGAAACGCGGGCGAGGCGGATTCGGCTGAAAATTATTCGCATGCCGAGGAAGATAAAGATGGCGACGAGAAACGACGATAAATGGAATGTTGAATATTGAAATAACTCAGGAGATTATCCAGAGAGAGGTTGACACAAACTTACGTCACAAACGTAGGTGCTTTGGGGATTTGAGTAGCGGAAGGGAAGAGAGGGAACACGGAACTCCTAGGTCAATCTAGCCTAGAAAGCTACGACTAGCTCTAGAATGAGGTGGTAGGGAGGGAACCCTAGACTAGACGACCTGCACGGCTAGCACTCTACGCACTGGGATTGGTTGTCGGAGATTTCATGGGGATAGGCTAGGTCAGGCTAGGCTGGGCAGGGGTGTTGGCGGGGTTCCACATCCCTTCTTCAAGATTTGAAACGTTAGGTAGGGATACAGCGCGGTGAAGTGCCATTGTTGGTTCCAACATGTGTGGAGTTTCCAGCCGCTGTCTGAACCCTGAAATGCCAGACCTGGGTTTTGGTAGGCCACGGCAGGCAGGGGCAGCCGGTTATGGCGTGTGCGAAGTAATTCGACGTAGTTTTGACGCAGTTTTGACGTCGGAAATCGACGTCACAGTGACGTCAGGCCTTTGACGTCGAAGTACGTCGAATGTGGCACTTTGTACACATTGCCGGCGACGTTCTGTCACACAAGACAAATGCCGGCCTCAACAGTTGGACAATTGAATTGCATCTGTTGAAGAATTGAATTGAGAGCTTTGAACAATTCAATTATCAAGCATGGTTTCGCAATGTATTTCGTGCGCGTCTATTGTGAGTTTTTTGGCTGCGAAACGAGCACTGCGAGTTGTATATTTTCGCTATACTTTTGTCGGATATAGTCTGACCATCACTGTGAAGATGTGCTCAATATTTGTTTTTGACCGTTTCTGTGCCCGAATCATTGCACAATTCCGTACGAGTGGAGACGCTCGCGTCAGCAATTTTTGAAGCGTACTTTGTACACAGAAATGGCACCCTTCAGCTCACCTACCTTCCCCAATAACCTCGACGTGGATCGACGTCGAAAAAAATTCAGCACTTTGTACACGCCATATTTCCAGGTTTGATTCTTCCCGAGGCGCATGCCATCTAGACAGGGGGCAGATGACGGACCGTCAGCTTCTTTGACGGCCCGACTGTCTTTCACTGAACTGTACAGTACTATGTGTATTCCTTCGGGGGTTCTCGACTGCATTTCACAGAGCCGCTGCACTGTACACTATTAAATAGCAAAGGTCTAGCTGTCGAATGCAGACCAAGCTTGTGTGGTGGTGGTTGAGCAAGTTTTTGGGAGCTGGCTTGTGGCTAGCGTGGTTATGGTTTGTCGCGGATCAAGGATAGGATTTGCGGTTACTCGGTCGAGTCCACGGTTGAGTCGACCATAGTGTGAAATCGTTTTGTGAATGAGTGACACCGCGTTCTAAAATTACACCCAGAAATTTTAGGCAATACATGAAAGGGAGATTATTTACCTGGTGACAGCGCTTGAAACCCGTTTTTATCGTGTCTGGGCTGGTTGCTCCCGGGTAGAAGCGATATATATAGAAGTGCATGCACGACTGAACAACAAACACAGACGCATTAATGCGCTGTAAGTGTTCGTCCTTTCAACCACCTTTCAGGCGGCCATTTCTGTCCGCGCCAGTTGTGAGATCACGCATGTGAATGAACTTCCATTTTGCAGGATTGCAAGAAATTAGATCTCAGGGCGGGTCCAGGGCGTTCGCATTTCGATGGTTCTGTGCGTTTTATTCTTGTTGCGTCACGGTGCAAAACGGTGATGCTTGTTAACCGCTGTACACCGACGGATGCGACTTGCGCCACGACGGATGAACTGGAAACGAACGCGCCAAGCCCGCCCCCAGAACACTCACATTGCATGCACCCGTACACCGCTGTGAACCGAATGTGATACCCGTACAGTGCAGCAGTAGCTACAGAATCAGGGCGTGCTTCACGAATTACAGGAGGACTGATGGCTCCTGCGGTTGTCGCTTATTGGCTTATCGCGTTAGCCTCTTTTGAATTTTGGATTATCGATCAATCCTAGCCCTACGCACTGCATTCCTCCTATGTTTGTTCTGTTGTTATCTGCCCATGGCTGCATGGTGGATAAAAGTCGTTGCCATTCCCCGCCCGACCAACCCGTTTCGCTTCGACTTGGTTCGAAGTAATGCGTTCATGAAACTAGTAGTTGCTTCTCCACGACAAACCGATTTGCCACTTCGCCAGAAGTACTACCATTGCAATCGACGCCGCGTAGTGGTATCCGTGGACAAATTAGCGAAAGGAGCGAGCGATTTCAGCGTCCTATGGTCGAAGCGCGGCCCGAGCGGAGGGCACGCTGAAGCGGGGAAGGTTGCCGCTAGCATAGTTAGGAACACCGCGGGTAGCTGCGGCCGGCATGGCGGAAGATCGAGTCAGAGGCGGCTGGAACAGGCACGTGACGACGCGCAATGCGAAGCCGACTCGGAACAAAAGGGAGAGAAACGACGAGACTACAGCGGGAGGTCCTGTAATTTGTTCCGCCGCGGTGCTTTTTCAGTGTGAGAGTGACAATGACGAAGTGCTCGGCTTTACAGACCGAGCGCCACGCGCCGCTCTGCGCGCGACGCGGCGCGGCCCGCGCAGGAGCCCCCCCCGGCCCGTTTTCCTTCCACCCATCGTCCCGTGTGTTTCCCCTTACGTCTTCCCCGCGCAAAACGAGTCGTTTAGTATCACTACCTTCCCCCATCCGCCTCACAGAGTAAAAAAAAACTAAGGAATATCCGCGGCCGTCCCCGCCGTTCCGCCGGCCCCGCGCGTCATCCGCCGTCTCCCGTCCGCCTCCGGCGCCAATTCGTTTCCCCCCCACCCCGCTCCGTGCCGCCGCCATCCGCCGTCCCGCTCTGCCGTCTCCCCATCCGCCGTTCCCCCACTGACTTCCTCCCAATCCCCGTCCCCCATCCGCTTTCCTCAGATTATCATCTGTCTCCCTCCCCGTCCGCCTTCCCCTCATCCGCCTTCCCCTCATCCGCCTTCCCCTCATGAGGGGAGTCCCCTCATCCGCCTTCCCCTCATCCGCCTTCCCCTCATCCGCTTTCCCCCGATCCGCTTTCCTCATCCCCATATCCCCGTCGCCTTTCCCCCATCCGCATATCCCCCATGCAGCTCCGCCTTTCCCCGGATGGGGGCCCCATCCGCCATCTCCCCCCATCCATCCCAGCCCCCTGGTTCACGGTGCTGGTGACGGCGTGTGGGCTGTGTGGGCTGGCCGTGGCTCGGCCCCCATCTCTTTCTCCTTTCTCTCCACCCCCCCCCCTCTCTCTCTTCCCACACCACCCTAACTTCCCCCCCCTCTCCCTCACCCAGACCCCTGGTTCACAGTGCTGGTGACGGCGTGGGTGCTGTGTGGGCTGGCCGTGGCGGCATGGCTGCTGTGGGATCGGCACTCGCAGTACGAGAGGCACAGAGAAGACTCGCTGGGCGTGTGGTGCAAGGAGCGCGCGCTCATGCTGCAGCAGCTCGTGCTGACCAATGTTGGGCAGACACAGGTAAGGCAGGAGTGGTTTCTGCACTTGCGAGGTTGGTGAGAGGAGGTGTTACCATTTCCTTCTATTCATTCTTAATGCTTACACTCTTTTTTCTATTGTGGTTGTCGTCGTATTTGTCGTCGTCGTCACTGCTGCGCTGCCGCCGTTGTTGCTGCTCCAGATGTCCATTGTTGTTGTTGTTGTTGTTGTTGTCGTCGTCGTCGTCGTCATCGTCGTCGTCGTCGTCGTCGTCGTCGTCGTCGTTGTTGTTGTTGTTGTCGTCGTCGTCGTCGCGTTGTCGTTGTTCCCATCGTTATCTCCATCACCGTCGGTGTAGCTGGTGCTGTTGCTGTTGGTAGCTAGTGCTGGTGCTATGGCGTCGTAGCGTTGTCGCTGTTCCCGTCGTTATCGCCATCACCGTTGCTTGCTGGAAAAATCGTGGTTGCGCCGGCGATCGCTCTTGCACTAATAGCAGTGATTGTTGTTCCTGTTGTCGTCGTTGTCGTCGTCGTCGTCGTCGTCGTTGTCGGTTCTCTTCCCTCCCATTCAAACCTTCACCCCCCCCCTTTTTTTTTCTCAGTGTTGACCACGCCGGGGCGGGTGGGAAAGGGAGTCTTGTTCACTCAATGATATTATTGCTCAAATGTTGTTTTCTCTGTCCTCCCTTGCACAGACTCTCACAGGCATCATATCAGTGATGGGCAAACCAGGTCGGAGGGGCAAGTGGGAGTTGGACAGGTGTTTGAGTGGAAGCACATGGGAGGCGTACCTCACTCGCATTGCCTATGCCCGCCCGGGCAACACGGGGGCACTCTCCTGTGTCTTTGTCAGGGACGAAGAGAGGTGAGAGGGGGAGGAGAGCGGGGAGCGGAAGGGGGAGAGGGTCAGGAAGGGCTAGAGGTTCAGGAGGTCACTTGCATTGGCTATGTCCGCCGGGGCAACACGGGGGTGCTCTCGTGTGGCTTTGTCAGGGACGAGGAGAGGTGAGAGGGGGGAGGACACAGGCGAGGGAAGCATCATACGGCCCCACGATTCCCACTCCATTCTAAGAGCGACAGTACGGCAGCATAAGAGACAACACCAGGAACGTCTGTGCCCACCGCCCCATCTACTGCCCAAAGATCCTCAAACTCACTTGCTCGCCGTCTTCCCTTGTACCTGATTCCACCCACTCACACACACACACCTTTGCAGAGCGGCCTTTGAGCGACAGTACGGCAGCATAAGACACCATGCTGATCGCCCATTGTCGTTTTGTTTTGTTTGCCCCACTCCACACACATTGCCTGCAGGGCGGCTTTTGAGCGGCTGTACGGCAGCATAAGAGACAACACTCTCAACGTCAGTGCACACCGCCCCATCTACTGCCCCAAGATCCTCCAATTCTCCACGACAGTAGCAATGAACGGCACGCAGAATGTCGACGTCATGAAGCGATTTCCCACAGAAGTTCCGCTGGCTGTGGAGGGAAGGCCTTTCTACACGTGGCCATACCCCTTGGCTAATTCGTCAACAAATGCCGGGTTCGGTGAGTTTGCGAACCTCTTCGAGTCTATGAGAAACAAGTTATTTGTGTTCTTGGAGTGTTTGCAAGCAGATTTCACAAGTTTTTTTCTGTCTGTGCAGTATTTCACGGCCTAGAGTAAGGGGTTCGGTTCTAAGTTTTTGCAGAAGAACACGTTTTGTCTCCTATTGGAGTGGATGGATGCTTATCCTTGAAAACAAGCAGATGAATGCCTTCGTTCTGTTCTCTTCCCCTCATTGACGTTGATACAGGTGTGGCCTTTCCTCTTCGCCGCACAAACCATTCGCGGCAAGCAGCCGTGTCGATGGTTTATGGCACGCTTGCTGCATCTGTAGACGTGACATCCATTGCTAAGAAGGTCGTGCAAGAGTTGTATGCACCTGGTGAGTGTTAAATGAACCCTCCTGTGATTGGAGTCAATAAACACCTTGCTTAAAAGCTATCGCTTATTAACCACAATCGAGAGCATGGTAATCTAGCTATTCAACGGCTTATTCTATTTCCCATATTGTGGTTGAGCATCTCAAGCACTTCTCTCTCTCTCTCTCCCCCCCCTCCTTCCCTCCCATCCTTCCAGACCCGTCCAAGTCCTTCGAACTATACGACGTCACGAACCGATCAACCCTCTTCGCCATCGTCTCACCTGTCCCGCTGCACATCTACGTCCTTCCCACCGATCCCGCCGCTCGCATGCTTCCCTCGCCTGCGTCTGAAACGCGTCCCTGGGAGAATCCGGCTATGGTGCCTTTGGAAGAGATGGGAGCAGGCGTGCGCAAGTATGAAGTTTGGTGCAGGTAAGCGATCAAAAGGCTTGTTTGTTTGTTTGTTTGTTTGTTTGTTTGTTTGTTATTTACTTTATATTATATGCATGTGCACTAGTTTTGTTTCCTTTTTTTGCGCGTGTACTGATTCTGTGCGGTTTGATTTTCTATATTCTCCCCACCATTTATCTCCCATCCAGGCACACAGAGCCTCCCAGCGCGTGGCAATCGTGGGGCATCCCCATCCTCATCGCCCTCTTCGCCCTCCTCCTCGTGCTGCTCGTGGTGGTAGCGGCTCGGATTCAGCGAGCCCAGTTCTTCCAGACCCAGCAGCAGATGGCAGTTGCAGACAATCTAAGGAAGGAAGCAGAGGGAGCAGAGGCATCAAAGAGCATGTTTGTGGCATGCATGTCTCATGAGCTCAGAACGCCGATGACTGGGATCATTGGTACGTACTAGGTAGAGGACTCCTGATTCGTTCACCCATGTTTGCACCGTCTGCACCGTACTAGGGGATGATCGCTTTCACACCATACACTTTTCTTATTCCATTCTTCTCTCCCACCGAGCATGCTTGATGCTTTGGCATGCATATCACGCCTCGTAGACCATGCCCTTTCTCACGAGCTATACTCCCCTCAGCATGCTTAGCACCGTTCTCCATGGACCCTTCTCTCCCCCTCTTTCCCACCAGGTATGCTCGATGCGTTGGCAGACATGTCCCTCCAACCTCCTCAGCTATCAGACCTCCTCAGCGCACGGGGGTGTGCGATGGATGCACTGCATCTGGTCAACCGCGTGTTGGACCTGGCGAAGCTGGAGGCAGGCAAGGCGGTGGCGGATGAGACGAGCTTCAGCGTGCGCAACTGGCTTCATGCGGCATTGGAGTGGCACACAAAGGAAGCACTCTCTAAAGGCATTGAATGTGAGTGTGTAAGGCATTGATAGAGGCAGGCAAGGCGGTGGCGGATAAGACCGGCTTCAGTGTACGCGACTGGCTTCAGGGGGCGTTGGATTGGCACATGGAGGCGGCAGATTGCAAAGGCATAGAAGATGAGTCGCTCATTGTGGCGGGCAAGGTGGTGGTGGATGAGACGGGCTTCACTGTGCACGCGTGGCTTCATGCAAGTTTGGATCGGCAGGGGTGGGGGCGATATGTTCCAAAGGCATAGAGAGTGAGTGGTTCACTGAGGAGTGCTCGAAGTGGACACTGGAATGGGCCGAAGTGGTCTGCTTGAAGGGCTACAGGTGTCGTCCTGAGGGGATATGGGTGCGTTGACATATCGATGAAGCATGCCCTTTTCTTCCAGTTGGTTAACGATCTGGAGCTGTCCCTGCATGGTGCGGTGGGCGTGAACAAAACCGCGGTTTGAAGTCTGCTGTTGGCAGTTTCTGTGTCCTAATGGTGGGCCCTCCGAGTGAGGAAAGTGTTGGAAGTGGGCACTGGAATGGCCCGACGCAGTCTCCTCAAAGGTTCTACGTATCGTCCTTAAGGGGTATGGGTGCGCCGACCCACCAAGGAAAACTTCCGAAACAGCTAGTCACACCTCCACCTGGACACTATCCCATTTGTAGTCCCCCTATGGGGTGCCATTTGACGTACGAGGAAATTTCCTTACCCTCCATCTTTTGTTCTCCGCCTACTCTGTTTGTCCTTCCCCTCCAGTGCACGGCACTGTGGACGACAACGTTCCAAGTCACATCGTTGCCGACCAGATGCACCTCTCCAAAGTGCTTAAAGAGATCACAGGTACTTACCTGATAATGATTGCATGTGTTGTAACGTCCAATCATTCCGCCAGTCATGTGTGCTCTAACTTGTTAAGGTTTCCCACTGGTGAAGTGAAGCCTACACAATTGCAACGGCTTAGGCAAAGGTTTCAGGCCCAGCAGCAGTTGGAAACTTCGTTGTGATGTCCATATTCTGTTCCTCCTCTCTCACATTCTGATGGGTTTGATTCGCTCACACCACCGCCTTGGTTTCATTGCAGATAATGCAGTGAAGTTCACGGAGCAAGGCCGCGTGACAGTGCGGGTGTCCCTGGTGCCTCGAGGGACAAGCTTGCAAGACGCCCTTCGTTGCCAGGGTAAGGAAAATCGTGAGCATCGACCGAGCTGTGTGACAAAACGGCAAGGCATGTCGACTGATTCTCGATTTCCTTCACTAGTGTCTCCCCTTGTTCGTCAACCGCTGTTGCTCTTGCTTCATGCCCATGCATAGACTGTCAGTCATCAAAACAGGTCCCATGTTTGGCATTCCTCACGCTAGGCATTTCTCCCATTCCGTCCACACGTGCCTTTCTCCTCCAGGTCTTCTCACAACCGCCCCTCGTGCACCCACGCCCACTCTCACCAGCATGGCTGCCTGGTACTCCTCATCATGGCTTTGGCTCAAGGAGGCCTTGAGGAGATTGCCAGCAGCAGCAGCAGCGGCAGCAGCATCAAGTGCCTCAAGCAGCCCTTCAAGGGATCGGCCTGCTGTGCTGGTGGTGTCGTGTCGGGACTCAGGATGCGGGCTGCCAGCATCTCTCATTGGAATCCACAGAAGCAAGGAGGCCTCGCCCTTCTTGCTTGCGGTGAGTGAGAAGGGCCTTCGCCTTTCTCCAATGTTTTCCACTATCCTCATCTTGATTTCCTTCATGATCGAGCTCCCTTCGACCTTTCCCTTTCCACTTCCTCAGTTCCTCTCTCTGGCTTTCTTTGCAACCTCCTTCTCCATCTCCCCCTTATTTCCTCCCGCGTGCCCATCTCTCTCACCTCTCGTCTTCTCCCTCCCAAGTCTCCTCCCTCCTTCGTTACCTCTCGCTCATTTTGCCCCTATCTCATGCTCCCATCTCATGCCCCGTATCTCATGCCTCTTTCTTTTTGCTTGGCATGGCATGGCATGGCATGGAATGGCTCCCCCACCATGCAGGACTTGCATGAGGCAGGGAGTGGATCAGGAGCATCGCTTGGGCTTGTGCTCATGCACCAGATGGTGAGTGGACGGATTGTTGTTGTTGCATGCTTGCTTGTTTTTTGTTTGTTCCCACACTTTTCCAAACCAGTAAATTTGGGTTGTACGCTAAGTTGTAATTTGGGTTGAGGTTTTTTTTTTTTTTTTTTTGTTTTTTTTTTTTTTTTTGTGCCACTGTCTTTCTTACAGGTGACTCTAATGAAAGGGGAGATTTCCTTTGATTCCCAGGCCGGCTGTGGATCCACTGTGGCGTTTTCCATGCCCGTGGCCGTTCCCTCGATACAAGAACACTCCTTGCTACAAGAACACTCGTTTCAAGAACACTGCTCGGATGAGGAACACCAAGTGTTGGAATTCCAGGTGGTGCAGAGTCAACAGCAACGCCAGCATCCTCATCATTATCATCATCTTCAGCAGCAGCAGCAGCAGCAGCAGCAGCAGCAGCAACAGCCACAGCCACAGCAGGAACAGCAGCAAGAGCAGCAGGAACAGCAGCAGCAACAACAGCAGCAGCAACAGCAGCAGGCACCCCAGCAGCAGCTGGGCCGATCACTAGCCGGAACAGGAAGGGTGGGCAGCGAGGGAGACTGCTCGAGAGCCCTCCAGAGAACAGCAGACGGAGAGAGCAGACAGAACACGAGGAAAAGCATGAGCGGAGAGCACCCTCCCCGCCCCGTCTCTGCCAATGCAGCCACAGGAGCAGCTGCAATAGCAGGCATGCAGGCGGCGGCGGATGAGGCGGTGACGCGGGCGTGGGTGGGCGGGCTGCGAGTGCTAGTGGTGGACGACACGCCCGTCAACCTCCTCGTGGCCCGCCGCTCCCTCAAGCGCTGGGGGGCCCACGTGACGACTGCCTCCTCCGGACAGCAGGCTGTTGAGATGATATCAGCTGGGGTGGTGGAGGGAAGAAGGGAGAACGCGGGTGCGGTGGCAGGGATACAGGAAGCAAGAAGGGCGGGTTCTGAGCTAGTGAGAGCAGGAGCAGGGGGGGCTGGTGAGATGGTTGTGAATAGAGGCTCGGGAATGGGGGCTGAAATCACTGGGAGTAGCACAGAGGGGTTAGCTAGTAGAGATGGGTGTGGGGCAAGGCGAGCAAGTGAAAAACGAGGGGTTGAGAGAGGTGCGGATGGTAGAGGTGGGAGTGAAAGAGGAGGGAGTGAACGAGGAGGAAATGAAAGAGGAGGGTATGAAGGAGGGCAGCGGGAGGCGAGAGGGCAGCAGGAGGAGAAAGGGCAGAGGGAGGCGGGTGCATCATCATTGCAGCATGGCTTCGACTTGGTTCTCATGGACCTGCAGATGCCGGGCATGGATGGGTGAGTGGTTGTGAGTGGTTGTGAGTGGTTGTGAGTGGTGGTTGTGGGCAGGCTATTGGTGAGTCACGCAAGCAGTCGACTGGCATTCTTAGCTCTATGCCTCATGGGCATAGAACGCCAGTCAAGTGATGAACCGTAATGCTAACGCGTCATACTTATCCCTCAAGCTGTCACATACCAACCGAACTCAAGCGTTCCCTTTTGTCTCCCTACAGGTTCGCGGCAACAGAAGCGATTCGAGCTTTTGAGAGGAGGGTTGTGTTGGAGCGAGCAACGGAGGCGCAACTTATGGCAGATGGGGAGGCATCAGCAGCAGCTGCCGCAGCAACAGGGCCAGCAAAGGGTGCAGTGGCTTCAGCAGCGGCAGCAGGGCCTGCAATAGCAGCAGCTACAGCAGCAGCAGGGCTTGCAGCGGATGCAGTAGCTTCAGGAGTGGCGTTAAGGCACGGGAGGGGAGAATCGGGGCCTAGGAAGATGCATAGGAGGGGCATGACCTGGGCAGGGGGCTGGGAGGGAGCGAGCAGGGGAGAGAGTTTTTTGGCAAGGGACACGAGAGGAGAACGGCAAAGGGAATGGGCTTCTAGGGCTGCTTCGTCTGCTCTGCAAGTCCCCACCCCAGATTCCTCAAACGCTGCTGCAAGCCCTGTTGCTGCTTCTTCTTCTGGTGGTGGTGGTTGTGCTGCTGGTTCTGCTAGTGCCCAACCTGCCTCTCTTCGGGTGCCCATAGTGGCGCTGACGGCAGACGTGGATCGTGGAGTGGTGCAGAGGTGTGCAGAGGGGGGGTTTGACGGTGTGCTGCAGAAGCCAGTGGATGCCCACCTGCTCGCCACCCACCTCGAGCAAATCAGCTTTCAAAGGTCCCTCGGCCGGTAGGGGCCACTTCAACACACTCACCTGCTCGCCACCCACCTCTCCCAAATAACCTTCCAGAGGTCACTACAGCGGTAACAGTCACTCCCAGCCCACCTCTCCCAAATAGCCTTCCACCGCTCCCTCGCGCAATAGCACTTGGCCATTAGCAGTCCCCCCAGCCCACCTCTCCCAAATAACCTTCCAGAGGCCACTACGGTGGTAACAGTCACTCCCAGCCCACCTCTCCCAAATAAACTTCCACCACTCTCTTAGACGGTAGCACTTACTCCCGACCCACCTCTCCCAGGTTAACACTCACTCCCAGCCCACCTCTCCCAAATGCACTTCCACCGCTCACTACACCAGTAGCAGTCACTCCCAGTACACTTCCAGAGATCACCCCAGCGGCAGAAGTCACTCCTGCAGTCACAGTCTCTCTAAATGCGCCTCCAGAGATCACTCATGTGGGTCGTGTCACAGCTCACTGTCAGTCAAACCACAAAGAGACACAACAGGTGCAGCAGCCAATGATGCAGCAGCCAATGATGCAGCAGCCAATGATGCAGCAGCCAATGGTGCAGCAGCCAATGATGCAGCAGTCATCAGTTTCTTGCACAGCTCAAAACTCGCCTGGGCTGCTTCACAGCCCACTGTCAGTGCAGCTATGAACAGATGCGACAGATGCTGCAGGGCAAAAATAATTGAATCAGTTAACAGCATACTTGTAACGTTTCACTACATCTGCGGCAGCCAATAATATCTGAATGCCACTCCCACTACTGACATGGACGGCAGGCGCAGCAGCCGGTGATAACTGAACAGCTCAAGGCCCGCTTAGGTTTATTCACTGTACCTTATATGACCACTGAAATGACTGAGGTACAACAGGCATACGGTAACAAACAAAGCCTGCTCCTATCAGGCTGACTGAAGTGGGGAAGGGGGTGGGGAGAACGGCTGTGGGGTAGAAGGGGGTGGTGGTGGGTTGGGGGGAGAGAGATGCAAGAGGTGGGAGGGACAATGTTTGACTTCTGGTATTTGCCCCCAAATATGTTTGCCTATAATCATCGTATTTGCTAAACACTCTAGACCTATATTCTTCCTCCTTGCTTTCAGCTCTGGGTTTGGTTTTTGCATAAACCTATCCAACCCCATATGTGTGTGCAATACTAGGTGCACATGCTGGCAAGCAGAGTGGTCATTGTGTCCGTATAAATGTTAAAGCCCAGGGTCAGCATGGTAAAAGTGTGAAAAGAACTAGGCAAGAATGATGCATTGAATGGAAGAATTGGGTACAAGTAGCAAACCCTAGTTGGGGTTGTACCCCATATTGGCTACCCCACTACAGCCTACAAACATAATACAGTTTAACACACCCCCATAGGCAAAGTGGGGGAGAACAAAGGGTCACAAGACCAGTCCAGCAAAGCAAAGCAAAGCCCAGGGTGGATCACAACGTCACCACACTCCGAGCACAAGCAAAGGCCACAAGGCCAGTTCACATGCAGTGCTAGATATAGAACAGGACAAGCAGCAAGATATATATAAAGTACAGTACAAAGAAAGTCAAGCAGTAAGCAAATGAGGAAAAGTGGACACAAGGCCTAAAGAAGTACAGTGCCGCTGATGATCACTAGACGGGAGCGCCTTGGTGAAGATATCAGCAGTGTTGGCCTTCGAGTCCACGTACACAAGCCGAAGCTGACCGCGCTGCTGAAGCTCTCGAGCAAGAAAGTAGCGAAGAGCAATGTGCTTCGTCCTGTGCTCCAGTCTGTGCTCCTGACACAAGGCAAGGGCCGCCTTGTTGTCACCGTACAGAACTGGAGGAGAACTAGGCCGCTCTCCCAAGTCAGTCAGCAGGTAGGTGAGCCAGCGTAACTCCTGCGCAGCCATGGCTGTGGCGTAGATCTCAGCCTCACAACTAGAGCCGAGAACAGAAGAAGAGCGGGTGGACCGCCACGAGACAGAACCAGAGCCAAGGCTGAAGGTGTAACCCTGTGACGACCGCTGCGTAGCCAGGTCGTCCACCCAAGAAGCGTCCGAGTGACCAGTGAGGACAACTCTGTCGCGTCCTCCAAGCACCAGCCCCATGCCTGATGTACTGCACAAGTAACGCAGCACCCTCTTAGCAGCCTCCCAGTGCTCTCGCCTGTGTCTCCCAGGCGCAACGTAACGAGCAAGGATGCTAAGTGGGTACGCGAGGTCAGGTCGCGTGCAAGTCATCAGGTACATGAGGCAGCCTACAAGCTCTGGGTACGGGCCACTCGGCTCTACGGACTCGTCCGAAGGTGGAGCTGAGAGCGAGTGGCTGGTAGCCAGAGGTGTGGCCTGTGGTGAGGAGAACTGGAAGCCGAAGCGCTGAAGGACCTGCTGCACCATGTGTGACTGAGTCAGGGTGATGGTGCGGCGAGCTCTGTCCCGGGTGATCTGCAAGCCAAGGTAGCTACGCAGTTCACCCAGGTCAGTGCAGGTGTGTCTCTTCTGCAGCTCCGACTTCACACGAGCGAGTGCCTCAGTGTCAGCAGTAGCAAAGACCAAGTCGTCGACGTACACGAGAATGTAGAACGGCGGTAGCGACGTGTCTGTGCGCAGAAACAGCGACGGGTCAGCAGTAGACGGCGCGAACCCAAGAGCTGCAAGTGTAGTCCTCAGTGTGTCGTGCCACTCACGTGGCGCCTGGCGGAGACCGTAGACTGGCCGGCGGAGGCTCCACTGGGTACCAGGAGGAAACGACCCAGTAAAGCCAGGTGGGCGGCGCAGCCAGATCTCCTCGTGCAGGCTGCCCTGCAGGAACGCTGTGCTGAAGTCAAGAGAGTGAAGCTCGTAGTCACGCTGAGCAGCAACGTGTAGCAGAACCCGAAGAGTGGTCATCTTCGGGGTGGGGGAGAAGGTCTGGAAGAAGTCAACCCCCTGACGCTGACTGAAGCCTCTAGCAACGTAACGAGCCTTGAAGACAGGTGGAGAACCTGGCGGCCGCTTCACCCTGAAAATCCACATGCCATCGACGATGTTCGCCCCAGGAGGGGGAACCTCGTCGACGTAGGTGCCTGTGGACTTCCAGGATGCCATCTCTGCGTCCATGGCTGTCTGCCACTGAGAGGAGTAGGGACCCGAGATCGCCTCTGCGTAAGAGCGCGGAGTGGGGATGTCTAGTGCATCCGGGTCTCCCTCAGGGGCAAGCAACCAGGCCACGAGATGAGGTACAGCAGCCGCAAGAGAGTCAAAGTCCTCCTGCCTGTCCTCAAGGACGTCCGTGCCAAGAGCACACTCACCCCCGACGGACGGAGGACAGACAGACTCAGACCCGGCAACAAGACTGGCGGCGTAGTCTAGACGACAGGCAGCAGCAAAGTCGACAAGCTCAGCGACCAGGGCAGACGCAGCAGCAGACTCAAACGACGGGTCAGTGACAACAGTGGCGAGAAGACGGGTAACAGTAGGGTGGGCAGCACGAACACTGTCAGACTCAGGGTCGGGAACGTCAGGAAGAGAAGACGCAGGAGGAGACGGTAGGGGGACACGCTGTGGACCAGTGGAAGGACGAAGGGCCATAATATGCGTGCCAGGAACAGGAGGAGGACGCGGACGCGCGACACGACGACCAGTGGGACCAGTGCGCGCAGTGCGAGCAGCGCGAGCAGCGCGAACAGGCGAGGCAGGACGAGACGCAGGCTCACGACGCTCCGTAAGCGAGTCCGGCTGTGCAGTATAAGGCACAGGAGCAGGGAGGGGGGAGCCAGGCTGAAGGGGAAGGCCAGTGGAAGACGGGAGGGAAAGAACCTGGCGAAGAACCGTGTCAGGCGGCGGCAAAGCCGACGGCGACGGAGGAGCGAAGAACAGGCGCGACGGCGGAGCTCCGCCAGCACCTCCAGCACCCGGAGCACCAGAAGCACCTGGACCAGCACCCTCCGCCACAGCACCCCCCGAGTCGGCGACGTCAGCACCAGAGGCCCCAGCAGCGACAGACCTCCCCTCGCCAGCACCTCCAGAACCAGCAGGACCACCGTGTCCAGAACCGTCAGCTCCAGCGTCGTCAGCTCCAGCAGCTCCAGTACCGCCAGGAAGAGCACCCCCAGACGCAGCAACCCGAGGCTCCGTAGGCTCAGCAGCAGCACCCCCAGGCCCAGTACCCTCAGGCGCAGTACCCCCAGG